CTTATTAAAGCATCTACAAACGTAACATCAGCTAATCTCATACCGATTACCCCAACTATTAAGTTGCCGAGTGGTAATGTAGTGCCAATCCTTGATATCTCTCCTAAACAGGTCTATCAAATCTTTCTGCAGCAAAAGCAAATTGCGCCCACCGCAAAACAGAAATTATCAAACAAGTACTCAAATATAGATATTGATTGGGAAAAGGCTTACACTTTGGCCTTTCATTGCACTTTGGACACAAAGATCAGGGAATTTCATTACAAAATTTTAAATTGTATACTCTTTACAAACGTGAAACTTAACTTAATTGGTGTAGTGGAATCGCCAAACTGCACTTTCTGTCAAGAAGCATCGGAATCTGTCGAGCATTTACTCTTCTCCTGCAGGATATCCTCTGAGTTTTGGAAGCATGTCTCGTCCTGGCTAAGAGATAATGATGTTCATGTTGTGACAATTAATGAGTCTGATGTGATATTTGGAAAATTTGATATTGTAGACGACTATACTCTAATTAATCATATTTTGTTATTAGCTAAATATTATATCTACTGTAGGAGATGTCATAATAGCGTACCTTCAATTAGAGGTTTTATTGCTAGGGCAAGACGTGTCTTCAATATTGAGCTCCATATCGCCAGGGAGAAAAATAAACTTCTTTTTCATTATCAAAAGTGGGAGAAGCTAACTTATGTACTTTGTAGTAGTTGATACACGTAGGTTCGTTAAAATTAGTAGGCATCTTTTTTGTTATCGTGGTTGTTGTAATATATACATATAATTTCGTTGTTATTGTTATCCTTTTTCTTGTTTTTTAAGTAGAATTGTATATTCTTTTAATTAATGTTTATTCTTAAGTAACATTGTAAAACTCGTCTTTAATTCAATAAAAAATTTAGCAAAAAAAAAAAAAAAAAAAAAAAAAAAGGACCCAAGGTTTCGCACGCTTTCTAAAGGTTTAATGACGGTGTCACCAATGATAATATATTCAATAGATGTTTTTTCAAGTTGTTGACGGGTGCCAATAATTAGAAAGTAAGTTTTCGCGTCATTGATCATTAGACGATTTCCATGCAATAAACCAAGAGCGAACATCAGCGATGCACTCTTCAATCACAGAGACATCGTTAATTTCCGAATGGATAGAAAAAGGTCGGAAGGAAAGGTAAATCTGAGTGTCATCAGCATAACCATGGACGGAAGGGAGGTGCTGCAAAATAATGTTAAAGAGGCTGGAGACGTAGAGAGTAAATAAAATAGGCCCCTTATAACTGCCCTGGGGGACTCAGTTCAGACTGAAGTCGTCAGAAGTCTTATCACCGACAATTATACGTTGTTTGCGACCAGACAGAAATGAGTCGAACCAATTTAAAGCAGTTCCCACGACTCCTAAATCCTGTTGCAAAATATTCAAAAGAATGGAATGTTCAATGGTATCAAAAGCAGCACTTAGCTCCAAAAGTACGAGAAGTGTCACTTCCTTATTGTCCATACTCATTAAGATGTCGTTTTGAACCTTTAATAGGGCAGTCTCTGTTGAGTGATACTTACGGAAGCCGGACTGGAATTTAGGAAGAGGGGCATTTTTCTCACAGTGGACGAGAAGTTGTTGAAGTGCAGCCTTTTCCACTACCTTGGAAATGAATGGAAGATTACTGACTGGACGGAAATTTTTGTAGACCAAATCAAGTCCAGGTTTTTTCAATAGAGGGATGACAACAGCGGTTCTCCAATTTTCTGGAACGCAACCACTGAGAAGAGAGAGATTAAACATCTCAGTGATAGGGGGCGTTAATACATCAAGACAGGACTTCGCTAGCCATGTAGGAACAGGATCCAACCGACAAGAGGCATTGGAGGATTTTAGAACAATCTTACTCACTTCTCCTAAGGATAGCGCAAAAAAATTCTCCAGATTCTCGTTTGGAGAAACAGGAGCAAGTCGAGGCTCTTGAACTTGAAACTTGTGACGATTTTCCGTTATGATTTCAATTTTTTTGAGTAAGAAGGTTCCAAATTCGTTTGCTAACTTTGTGGGATCATCGTGCTCTGGAAGAGCCATCTCAAGTGGTTCCCTGGACAAAGATAACCACACTAGATAGCTTGCGAGAGTCACCCGAACACTGATCAATTAGGTTTGAATAATAATTCACACGTGCAGATTCAATAAGTGCAGCTGTTTGGCGAGCCAAACAGAAACAGAGCCCGACCTCTCATTGCTCGCTTCACGTGTCGTGCTGAGAGAGACCGCGTCTGGAAAGCTCGCTACAGGCTGGAAAACTCGCGTATTTCAATGGGTGAGAACCTACCGTAGCACATACAAGAAATCAGGATAAACGTCCTTATCCCTGCGATGAAGAAGATAAAACAAGAAACACCTAGCCACAAAGCTACCTTCATAGGGGATAAGTTAGTTGTTAATGGAAAAGTTTATTTTCATTATGACGTGCCGAAGAAATGGCTCCCTGTCAACTCTTCAGTGAATACCCATGAGGACTATGGCAATGGTACAGCCGAACAACAAGAACCACTGCAAAGTCAAGAAGAATCCTCTGATGTTATGGTCCAATCCCAAGAACCGCTTAGTCAAAGCGAATAGGTGACGCTTTTTCTGTCAGTCCAATCCTTTCACAAAACTTTAAAATTAACTCTTGTATGTATGTATGTATGTAAATCGTTATTTAAACACGGGAAATCATCAGTTAAGCTTAAGTTAAAAACTAAAACTAATTACAACTGCTTTACATGATTGCCGTGTGGGAATCCGATATCGACCGATATATCAGCTACCTTCTTGATATTTCGCTTAAAATGCTCAACGGATGCAGCGTTTTTTAAGTTTTTGGGCAAGTTATTCCATAACATGGCCCCGCTGTAAGAGAAGCTTCGTTTCAAATAATTGGTGCTTGGTTTGGACAAGGTCAGCCTTCCCTCAGAGTTTCTTAAGTTGTAAGCAGAGTGACGCTGAGAGAAAAGACTTTGCAGATATTCTGGAGCAAGGTCATTCATGGTTTTATACATCATTACGGCTTTTTGTTTCTTTCGTCGAAGAGATAGCCTCTCCCAGCTGAGGGTGGAGAGAAGGTGGTTTGAGCTCGCATCAAAGGGTGATTTAGTAATAACTCTGGCTGCACGATTCTGTAATTTTTGGAGCTTATTACTCAAGTAACCACTCAAACAGTCCCAGACGGGGCTGCAGTAATCAAAATGAGGCATAATTAAAGCGTTATAAATTTGAATTGCAGTTTCTTTGGATATAAAGGGCCGCACACGTTTTAGGGCGCCTATAGCTGAAGAGACTTTCTTGCAAATCTCTTCAACGTGTTTACCCCAAGAGAGTTGAGCATCTATGGTAAGACCCAAGGATTTGGTATGATCGACTCTCTTAATAATTTGGTCATCAATTCTGATTTCTACATCGTCACATTGGGCAGATAGTCTTTGTCTTGATCCAATAATCATTAGCTCTGTTTTAGCAACATTTAGACTGAGCTTGTTAGCTTTCAGCCAACAGCTAAGGTTATTTAATTCAGGGGTTAGAGCTAGCTTAAGCTCTGTTAACGTCTTAGCAGATAACGTAAGGTTGGTGTCGTCGGCAAACATTCTTGGTACGGCGCCCCGCAGGGAGTTGGGAAGATCATTAATGTAAATTAAAAATAGCAAAGGACCCAATATGCTACCCTGCGGCACGCCGCAACTGAGGGTACGAGCAGATGATAGTTTGCCACTGACATTACATCTTTGGGTTCGGCCACTTAAGTACGACGAGAACCATTTTATAGCTGCCTGATCGACACCCAAGTACGACATCTTACGCAAGATGATCTCATGATCAATGGTGTCGAATGCCTTAGTAAGGTCAATAAAGACAACGCCATTTAGAAGGCCATTGTCGATGTTTACTGACCAAGCATTTGTTGCCTCAAGCAAAGCCGTGAGCGTACTATGTAGAGAACGGAACCCTGATTGGCAACCTAGTAGCAATTTATTATCATCTAGATAATGGAAAAGTTGATTATAAACAATTCTTTCAAAAACTTTCGAAATTATAGGGATTACAGATATCGGCCTGTAGTTGTTAGGGTCCGATTTAATGCCCTTTTTAAAAAGTGGAGTCACTTTGGCTGTTTTCCAATCGTTTGGATATATCCCAGTGAGAATAGACTTTGAGAATATTGAGGTAAGAGAGGGTGCGACGATATTAGCAGCCATTTTCAACAATTTACTCGGAATCATATCAAGACCGGTGGCTTTCTTTTCACCAATTTTCGACAAAACGTTAGAAACAATATCAACACTCGGAATTTGCAGAGAAAACGAATGATCAGTGGGCTTTAAATAAGACTCAGGATTAACATCGACAACAGGAATATCTTGTGCTAATACTTGCGCAACGTCTGTAAAGTGATCGTTAATAGTTTCCGCAATGTCCAAAGGGTTACTTGCTATTTTATTATCCACCTTGATCTCCAAAATATTCGTTGACTTACCACTGTTACGTGAAGTTAGCTCGTTGATAACATTCCATGTTTTGCGCAAATTACCTTTGTTGGTTTCCAAGTTGTAAGAAACATAGATTTTTTTTGCGAGTTTAACTGCGTTATTTGCCTGGTTTCTTGCACACCTAAATTGATCCCATATAGCCGGGTTATTGGAGGAGATTGCCTTCTTTTTTAAGGAAATCTCGTTTTCGGATTTTGCTAAGTAACTCTCTAATAACCCATGGAGATCGTTTTTTTCGAATTCTTTTTGGAGTGGTGCGTGTTTATCGACGCAGCCAAGAAACATTTCTTTCCATACACGCCACATTTCATTGGGATCAGAATACAAATCAACATTGGCCCAAGGTAGTTGATTGAGGTCACTTAAGAATTTTCCTCTGTTAAAGTGTTTAAATTGCTGTGTTTCAATCACGCCAGGGCCAATACGGCAGTATGGAGTCTTACGTGACAAAGAAAAACAAGAGAATGATCACTTATGCCAAGGTGAATGACACCGGAATTTGTAATCTTCTCTGGGGAGTTCGTTATACATAAATCAATTAATGTTTTTGAGTACTGGGTGACACGTGTTGGTTCAGTGATTAACTGACTAAGACCATATATATCGAAAATGTTTATCAGATGGGAAGAATTGACTGTAATTGCTTCAGGCAACAAATTGCAGTTGATATCACCGAGTAAATATAATTCCTTATTTTCCGCGTCAATTTTAGCAATAACATTCTCAAATTCGCTAAATAAATTGGGTGGAGAACTTGGGGGTCGATACCAAGTACCGACCAGAAATGGTGTGCTTCGTGGCTTACTGATTTCAACAAAAAGAGACTCTAAAAGATCATTATTTAAATCATTACGTATTCGATAGTTCAGATTAGTGCGTACGTATGTACATACTCCACCTCCATTCCTTCCGTTAATTTTACGATCTTTTCTGACTATTTCAAAGCCAGGCATTTGTACTTCTCGGGTGCGGCTTTGCTACGGACCAACGATCACTTGATTGTAGTTGATTGTTTTCAACTTCACTCTTTTCTCGCGTAATGATTGTTAGTGCTAACTTTAAAGAATCATTTTCTTGCTCTAATGACAGAACTCGGCTTTCAAGGAGCAAACATTTTTCTTCCAACTCATTAATTGCATTGTCTTTTTTAGATATAGTGGATAATAACTTTGCACACTTCTTTTTGTAGTCGAGGAGCTCGACACCTAAAGCATTTCCATCTTGTTTTTGAATATTTTCCATCGACAGCAGCTTTGTATTTTCTTGAACTTGCTTCTGAAGGATCAATAAATCGAGTTTCAATCCCTCAATATCGGCAATGATTTCTGAATTTGGTCGCTTTTCAGAACCATTTAGCAGACTCTCACCATCAGTCGACGTTTGAAAATTACTCTGACCACTGTCGGTCTCCTGCAATAGTGTAGATGGTTGAAATGATTGTTCGCTAGAGCTCAGAGAATTGGCATCTTGCGTTTCAGTTGTCTTTCTCGGTTTCTTGTGAATTAATTCTATCAGCCTATCCTTTAAAGCGGGACCATCGCGGCCCTGAAAATTCAGAGTTTGTTGTTTCTTGTTGTACCAATTGATGATAACATTGCCGTTTGAACATTTAAATTGCTTTGTATTCCCACCAGGCGTTAGCCACTTTCCTTGCAGTTTTAAAACATTTTCCACGAATTTCTTTAGAGATTCCAAGTCATTCATCCACACCAACTTTCCGTCATTAAGATGAAGATACTCTAGCTCACAAGACTCTGGATTGAGCGAGGAGGACTCGGTTTCTAAGACATGAACAGCATCAGCATCAGAGCTACAGATTGAACGTCCGTCCGCCATGCTTGCATATATAAGTCCCTGTTTATACTTTTCACGCGAAAAACTTTTTCTTTCTCGATAGTTACCAAGAAAGGGTGCCGGTTTTCTTGGTTGAAAACCAGTTTTATTTTTACTCCGTTCTTTCTTGCCTTTAAAATCAAGCTCTATTTTTGTGTTTCCAAATACGAGGACTTAATTTCGACCCTGAAATGGAACTCGCTATTTTCATGCTTCCCGTACCGTAGCCAAATTTTCACCTTTCATGGCAAATCTGTTTACATTCAGAGTCAAAGTCCATGTTATTGCGGATGCTTTGTACGTCCCTTGTTATGCGACCCTCTCAAGTAGGCCAAACCACTTTCGTGTGGTGCGTTCGAAGGCCTTTTTCAGGGCCTTTTTTATTTTTCTGTTTATTTTTCTTAAGTAACGTTTGTCTAAGTCCTTTGATAATCTATTTTATTTCTACTAGTAGTTTGAACACATTAATCACCAATGCACTGCATTCACATTCACGCTTCGGCCAAAAGACAGCTGTCAAAGTCTGCCGTTGCCAGCGCAGTTTTCTGAATTTTTCCCTTTGTCCTCTAGATGCCTTTAAAACCTAGTTTTGATGTTATTCCAGCCCTTAAACGTAAGAGGATTGAATAAGTCAATCAAACGTCGATCAATCTTCCGTTGGTTATGTTGTAGTTCGCATCAGCAACGGTGCAAGATTTTTATTTATGAATCAAGCATGCCGAAGGACATGACATGTGCGCGCATGCGCAAGTACATTGAGTTGCGTGACAAACTATGACATCCCCCTTCTTTCCAAATAAGGAGGGAGGAGGACAACTTGTAAAACAAAATACGCACAATAGAAGCTAACGAAATCAAAGAAAAAAAAAAAAGAAAATTAAGCAATGTTCACTGTCCATGTAAATGTTCGTGATCCTAAACTGCAACAATAACTTGGTAAGAAATCAGTTTTGAGTTCAGTTTATAGGTTCAACTTGACAGGGGGTTTGATCACCCTGGTGGAACGACGCAGTGTACCGGTAGCTTTTCCGGTCAAGGAACCTGGTGTGGTTGCCGGGCTAGGTGCCAGGGATGTTGGTGTGGTCTGTTCGCTTGTAGGGGTGCTTTCATTAGATAGTGCACTTGGTGAGGTGGTGCAGGTTTCAGGTTGCGGTGCTAGTGGGGGCTCTGCAGCTTCAACGTCACTGCCGTTCTGCAACGTTATGGGTTCCCCTGTAGGGCGGATATGGCGGCGGTTACGCTGGCGGACACTGCCATTTGCCATGTCGACGAGATGCGAGCGAGGCGTCTGCATGTTGCGTCTAACAACACCTGGTTCCCACTTGTGGCTGTGGGGATTGAAGACACGGACGGGGTCTCCAGGGTGTACTGCGGGGAGAGGCTTAGAGGTTTTGTCGTATTGCAACTGTTGCTTTTCCAGCCTTGTTTGGAGTTGGGAGTTGGTATCTCCATCTGCTGACAGGGAGAGGCTGGGTTTAGATATTGTTGGAAGGTTGGCTTGGTAAACTCTTGAATTTAAGAGTTCTGCTGGCGACGAAATGCTGTGATCAAGAGGGGTGATTCGCAGGCATAGCATAGCGAGATGAGGATCTGCACCAGATTCCTTGCACTTTTGCAAAAGGTTCTTTACCGTTTGCACTGTTCTCTCGATAAAACCATTAGCCTGTGGGAAATATGGGCTAGTGGTTGTGTGGACAAATCCATAGCTACTGCTAAACTCCTGGAATATGGCGGAGGTGAACTGAGCATCATTGCCAGTGACAAGTTTGCTTGGAATGCCATGCTCTTCAAATATGGATTTCAGGTTGGCAATTGTTGTGTCTGATCGGATATTGTTCAACTTCCTCACTAGGGGAAACTTGCTGTAGTAATCAGATACTAGCAAATAGGGCGAGTTGTTCCAAAAGAACAAGTCAGAACCAAGGGTGTGCCAAGGTTTTTGTGGAACATCGTGGGGCATGAGGGGCTCCTTCACGTTCATGTTTTGGTTATGTTGGCATGGAGCAGAGCCTTTTACCATTTCTTCAATGTCCCGGTTTATGTTGGCCCAGAACACTGATCCCTTGGCACGGAGTTTGCACTTTTCTGCGCCCTGGTGTGCGTAGTGCAGCTGCTGCAATACGGCGGGTTGTAGGCGTTTAGGGATAATGATACGTGTTCCCTTCAGGATTATGCCATCTGCGACGGTTAGTTCATCGCGATAATTCCAGTATGTATGAAGGTGTGCTGGGCATTCCGATCTCGTATCGGGCCAACCTTGCATGATAAATGCACGGAGTGAGAGGAGAAGTTCATCTTTAGTTGTTTCCTCTTTAATTTCATTGATCCTTGTTGGGGTGGCATTCAGGTGGAGGTGGAGTTCATGGACTGAGACATCAAGCCCTTCAATTGTGTCACCTGGGAGGGGGCTGATTCGAGACAGTGCGTCAGCCAGTGGAACATTCTTTCCTGGCACATACTTTATTTCCGCATCATACTTTTCAATCCTAAGCATCATTCTTGCGATGCGTGGCGGAGAGGACGAGAGATGTTTCCTGAAAATCGCCTCTAACGGCTTGTGGTCTGTCTCAACAATGACGTGTCGGCCATATGCATAGTAGTGAAACTTCTCGAGGCCATGTACAATAGCAAGCATTTGTCTTTCAATGTTTGAATAACGGGTTTCAGTTGCAGTGAGGAGCTTGCTTCTGTATTCAATAGGGCCTTTGTCTTGAAAGAGAGTCGCACCAAGACCACGCATGGATGCATCAACTTGGATGGTGATTGGCTTTGTACTGTCGAAGTACTGGAGTGAGCTAGTGGAAGTGACTGCCTTTTTGATCTTGTCGACGGCTGACTGGTGTTCTGGGCCCCACTGGAAGTCGCTGCTCTTCTTTGTCAGATCCCAGAGGTTAGCTGATAGGGAAGCTAGGTTGGGTATAAAACGACTGAGGAACTGTACCATGCCGAGAAAGGTTTGTAGGTCAGCAGGGCTCGCTGAGGGGTCCATGTTGGTGATTGCTTTCGTCTTCTGTGGGTCTGGGCGAAGGCCGCGGTCACTGATGATATTTCCAAAGAAGGGTATCTCAGTGCACCTTATCTTACACTTGTCTGGATTGAAGCGGAGGCCAGTTTCGCGTGCTCGTTCCATAACTGCTGTTAAGTTTGCATCACGCTCACTCTGGTCACGCCCATAGATAACTATGTCGTCGGCGATACCCGCGACGCCTGGGAGATCGCCGAATGCCTCGTCTACTTTTTTCTGGAAGATGTCCTGGGCACAGATGAGGCCGAATGGGAGCCGCAGGAACCTGTACCGCCCATGAGGTGAGTTGAAGGTGGTGCACAAGGAGCTCTCTTGGTCGAGTTGGGTGTTCCAGTAACCACTGCGGGCGTCAACAATAGAGAAGTATTTGGCGCCACTTAACCGTGGTAAGACCTCGTCGAGCGTGGGGGTGCGGTGATGTGGCCGCTTGATAGCGCGGTTGAGGTCCTTAGGGTCTAGGCACAGCCGAAGTGTGCCATTGCTCTTTGTAACGCAGACCACTGAATTAACTCAGTCAGTGGGTTCGTCTACTTTGGTGATGATGCCCTGCTGGACAAGGGCGTCAAGTTCCCTTTTTAGTGGTTCACGCAGTGCCTCGGGTACTCGCCGTGGGGGGTGGATGACGGGTGGAACCGTAGGGTCCAAGGTAATGTGGAACTCCCCTTGAAAACAGCCAACGCCCGTAAAACAGTCTTTGTACTGGATGAGTAGCTCTTTCTTTGCATCGGCATCGCCAGGGGGTTTCGGTGTGGGCTTTGTTGCCTCTGGCGAGGTGGCAGTGGTGAGGCTGTAGTTGAGGGTGACGAGTTTCATATCCCTGCAGGTAGGGAGGCCGAGGATCGTTGGCCCAGTAGTGTTCACCACGTGAAAAGGGTACGGCTTGGAGTGGCCGTTGTGTGATAAGTTAAGTTCGCAAGTTCCATAGTGCTGTATAGTGTGGCCACCGAAGGCAGTAATTGTTGTGTTAGAAGGACACAAACCGAGAGGTGCACCATCTGGGCTGTATGCTGACTGCGGATACAGCTGTTTGTACGTGTC